TTCTGATATCTTTCTCTCCCACCCTCAAATCTCAACCAGAATAAATGATCTTGTCAATACCCTCATTAGCAAATGAGAAAACAAATTGCCATCCCAAGATCACAAAGCTGGCAAGGGGCAGAATTGAAACTAAGTCCTCTTTTTCACAGGCAAGGTGACTTTTCATAGCCCAGGTAGAGATCTTTGCTTCAGAAAGCACAGATAGTTACTGAGATTCAGAAGTCAAAAGGAAATAAGATATTGTTACATCAATCAAGAAGAAAAAGAAGTCCTTCTTTCTTCCCTAACATTCACTTCTTGTTTTATTGCAGCCTTTCCCCTTACAGATATATTCAACAGTATGCCCTCCAAGTTGATTTTACTTTGAAAGATAGTGTGATTTTGGTATGTACCAGAAGTTGTAGAGCAAGTCTCCGAACTCTGATCACCAGTCCTCTCAGTAAAGCTTTCTGAGCATAGAACCCCAGTGTATATGTTTATTTATGCATAAATTATGTCTATAAATCACAGTACATATTTGCTTTGTACATCATCCCAAAATGGAAATATTTAAATAACCATATGCATAAATACACATATAGATTCCAAGACTTTCTTCCTGCCTTCCAAGAATAATTTTGTTTGCCCCCAGGTCAGAAATGATCAATTTGAAAAAAAATCAACTGTAATCTGTTGGTCTATCAAACATCAATATACACCTAGTAGTGCAAGCCACCTTGATTTGAGCCCTTTGGAAAAGAACATTTAACGGAGTTTATCACAAAGAAGATCCTTAACCAAATTCAGTGGGATCCTTGGTGTTCCAAATGTAAAAGCAGATTAACAAGTAAAATTGCCAGTTGCCAGAGCAAATGTACTAAAGATGATTATATTAACTAAACGTTTCAAAATGAAAGCAGTCCTCCAGTTATCACAATAACCAGAAACCATTTAGACATCCTTCAGAGTTACAGAGGCTTCATTCTATGAATAATCCTTGTCATGGACTATTGGATACCTACACAGTGAAGAGTTATAGCATTTTAGGCAGACCTATTATGCTGGGGTAGGCACTGCCATTCACTAAGCCTGCTGTCCTGTTGCAGGGGCTGGATCACTCATAGGGCTTAACCAAATGGGGTCATACTCATTTTCTTTCTATGCCAAAGACCCAGATCCAGACATGGTATTGACTCTTAACAAACTTTTCATTTCCCAGACATGGTATTGACTCTTAATAAACTTTTCATTTCCCATCCTGATTTGCGTTATTTTGAAAGAATCTTCCAGCACCTTAGGTAGTCCCAAGTATTCTAATTGGTCCAAAGAAGGCTTAAATGAGTTTCCTCAGCAACAGTGGCCATAACACCAAATTGGATTTATGTTACACAGGCTTGGAAAAGAAGAGGTCCCCAACATTAAATCAAAGAAGATGGAACCTAGAAACACTATGAAATTAAAAACTTTGTTTGCAATAAGATAAAATGTATACACAAGACTAAATTAAATCGGTAATGCATTACCAAAGCAGGATAATTTTCTTATATGGAAAATACTAGAACTTATTTAAACCAGAATCTCTAGCTTAGTATACAGACTAGAACCTCTGCTCTCCAGGGATCTGGAAGACTTTACACAACTTCTCTGGTCAAACAGCACCTCCTCCAAATGGCTGAAATTAATCCTTGGTCACAGAAATAAGAAACTGAAACCTATCAAAGCATAATGTCATTATTCTCATTTTTCTTACGATTACTAGTGGGATCTTGAAAAACCAATGAACTCCTCATATTCCCACTTGTTCTACCTACGAGGCTGAGACAACACTAATTATCACGAACCATTTTCATCTCTTAGTGTCATAGAAAACTGGGATAGTTTGAAATTTGTGGAAATACAACTTGAGGAATTATTGTATAAATGGTAGAATTCTAAGCAGCACCTTTTCTGGGTGTAGCATTTCTAGTGGCCTACAAAGAAGGTAAAATATAAGAATAATTTCAAAATAGTTATGTATTAGAATGGTCTTTACACCATACCCATGAAATGTTGCTGAGATTTATCCATAAGGGTTGAAATACCCTCACAGTGAAATTTTGACTTAATGAGTTGTCAGAAATGAGAGGCCAAGTTGCCAGCTCTACGTTGGCCTATGGTAAAATCTATAACTAAAGTTTGCCGTGCTCAAAAATACTCTGCCAATAAAATTTACATATATGCCATGAGGTTTCCTTTGAAAAAGATAAACAAAACATAAAGAACTCTTAGACAGGTTAGGTCTGTGGATTCTACCTAAAGCAACCTGCACTAGGAATAGGCAGGTGTTTCTAACACCTACTGAGATGAGCTTCATTGAAGAACTGTGAGTACTGTCCTAGATAGAGTGTGTTGCTAAGAGGAGGAGGGTTGTTTTATAACACTCTGGAGATTAGACCTAAGGGCTCTATTGTTAAACACTGTGTGTTGAACTAGACCTTGATTCTCTTGGCTCATTGTTTTTTAACGTCCATAGTGGGGATCACCTCAAACCCATCTGCAGACTCAGATTTCTGCCACATCCTAGGTCCTGTTGGTTATCTCATGTGGCTAAGATTAAAGAGCATAAGCTCATAGCTTAGTATCAACTGAGCCTAGAGAACATTAGTGGATCACTATCGTTATCATTAAGACCAACCAAGTTGATTAGGAAGCTAATGAGTTTTGGACTTAGACAGCTCCAGGTATGAATCCTGGATCTGTCACTTACTATCTAACCTTTTTCAAATTTATTTTTCTTTTTCTAAGCTTCAAGTTTCCTCATCTCTAAAAAAGTGATAATAATACCTATACTTGCTAGTCTATATACTCTGATGTATATATAGTCAATCTCTGATGATTTCCTAGTCTATATACCACTCTAGAAGAGCTTATCATACATTATAGGGACTTAATGAATGCTTATTTCCCTTTACTGCTCCCCTCCCTTTCTGTGTTTAGAAAAGCTTCCTAATGCCACTTTGCATGACTCAAACAATCAACTGTTCTTATTCATGCTGGAATGATTGTATCCCTGACTCTATCAAAGATCTAGATTGGAAATTCAGGTGAGGTCAGTGCCTAACAGGAGTTAGAAATTCAGGCTGCATTTTGCTCTCTCTTCCTATAACATTTTGCCTAACACGTTGAACATGTTTCTACCTTGAAACTTATCACATTATTTTGGAATTATCTGTGGTCAATGTGATATTTCCTCCCCAAAGACAAAGTTGAACTCTTATTCATCCTAATGCGCTGCATGCCTAAAACAGTATCTGGTGAAGGGCACTACCATGCCATGGGTAGGTACTTCATGCCATTCCTCTGCAAAAGACGTCCAGATGACATGACTCAACACGCTTCAACATGCCCAGATCTCTTTGAAGGATAAATACACACAAACTCTGGAGACATTGTTTTAGAATGGAACCAGGCATTGGGCCATCACATTTTCTGAAAATCTTTGAGAGAGGATTTTCATTTGGAATTGGCTCTTGCAGGCATAGAGGTCTATATAGTTCAGCAGTTAGCATGCATTCTCTCCTAATGTATGCCAAGTCCAATGATAAGGCAAAGACGTGGATATCTACCATGAAGTACATTCTCAATGGGGGAAGACTCATGGACTTTAACAGTTTGGGAACAATACAGTTTAGGACATACGGGTAACTAATAAGCATTGGTACTGTTATAATTCATGAGCACAATCTCACTATTTTCATAATCATCCTTGGTATAATTAAGTTGTCAAAGATACATGGTGAAAATGATACATGTTGTAGAAATTAGAAGACTCAGGAGATGAGTGTGGGTTGAAAACGGCTTTGTGTGTAAAACTAATTATGGTAATAATTAGCATTTGCATGGCTTCTTGCAATTTACAAAGTGTTTTTACAGCATTATCTCATCTTGCAAAGGTTATGAACTGGCCCTTAGATGCTATCTTATGCCAATATTAAGCTTCCCTGCCAAACCTTGAACATCATAAGGTAAGATTCGGTAGACAGTTAGAAAAGAGGATTAATAATGCATTTAAAAGGCAAAAATCCTGCCAAATTTATTGGCGTAGAAATAGATTTGGCATTTTAGAAACTAAGAAATGTATCTTGTAAAAGAAGAATTTGGCTAATATTTTGATTTCACAGTGCTTGGCACTTTTTTTACATTTCGTGGGGTGAGTCTTTGACGTGCAATTGTAATGAGGAAGTATACTTACTTGGAACTAGAAGATACACAAAATTAGGGGATATCTGAACCTTTTTAAGGGGCAAAACCTAGAGTGACTTGATTAAACCACCATAAGTAGAAGTATGGTTAGAGAGAAACTGTGAAGAGCTGATCAATATTTTAAAATTCAGGTGTCCGTTTCTTTCTTTCTCTATTTTAGAGACAGGGTCTTGCTCTGTCCCCCAGGCTGGAGTGCAGTGGGGTGATCACAGCTCACTGCAGCCTGAAACTCCTGAGCTCAAGCGATTTTCCCTCTCAGCCTCCCAAGTAGCTGAGAGCACAGCTGCATGTCACCACACCTGCCTAATTTTTTTAGCGGTGGGGTCTTGTTTGTTGCCCAAGCTGGGCTCAAACTCCTGGCCTCAAGTGATCCTCCAGCCTCAGCCTCTCAAATGATTGGGATTACAGGCGTCAGCCACAGTGCCTGGCCTCTTAGGTCACCATTTCTTAGAGAAAATCCAGACTGATCTGTAAAATGCTCCTTCCAGTCATATCTTCCTTCCCACAACCACAACTACAGGTTGACTTTTCTGTCTCATCAACTGCCTAATCTAAAACCATGAGTGAGATAGAAAATGAGTTACTCAAATGCAACTGCTCTGGAAAATCAACCCTGAAAGTTAAAGACAAGGCCACCTGCCAGCCCCACCCTCCCACCTCCCCCACTTGCTTGACTCTGGCGCTGCGCTTCCTTTGAAAATGCGAGGTCACCTGGGCTGCCCCTGAAGGGGAGACCTGCTATGTGACCGACGAGCAGCCCGGCGGGGACCCAGGTGAGTCATTGGGTTACACAGGAAGAGAGACGCCTCCGGATAGCCGGGCTGCAGTTCGCGCGCCCCGCGAGGGTGTCGCCGGCACAGGGTAAGCCTTTCCAGATGTGGCCGCCGCGCGCGCTTGGCTGTGGGCCAGGAGGCCGCCTGCATTCGGCGCTTCCCAGGGCCGCAGTGCCAGCCGCAATGCCGGCCTCGTGAAGGCAGGCGACAGCCCGCGGCCGGGAGGACAGCGTGGGGCGGAGGACGAAGGCTTCGTCCGGGCGCCCGGGCTGCGCTGAAGGCGTCTGCGGGTGGATGGGGGACCCCGAGGCCCACGTGATGGCGCGCCCCCTGCGAGCCCCTCTCCGGAGGTCCTTTAGCGATCACATCAGGGACTCCACGGCCAGAGCCCTGGATGTCATTTGGAAAAACACCAGAGACAGACGGCTGGCAGGTGAGATGCGGAGGGGGATTGGGGACCGGGGGTGAGGGGTATTAAAAAGAAAACAATTTACTGCGAAGACGCAGTGATGAACTTGGATCATGAATGATCTCATTAGCTGGATGAAGTTTCATGACTGTCATGGCAGTGTGTGCAGTCTCCCTTTCCCTAGTAATTAACGTTAATGGAGTGCTGAGATTTTTGTGTTTGTTTGTTTTGTGTAACGCCTCTCTGGTTACTGGTCTGATTATTTCTAGATAAGGAATTATGAGAGTTGCGGGGTTAACCTTGAAAAGAGAAGCAAGGTCCTTGTGAATGTTAGGAAATCGGCGGTGATGAACCACTGCCGCAAAAGCCCTGAGCTCCGTGGGGCTCTCTGGGGTCAGCTTTGGAGCTGAAGCTGATCAGGTGTGAGGTGGCCTGGCATATGCGCAGGAGAGGAGCCTGGCAGGTCTGTGTGTCAGTGGAGTGATGGGTGCTGCCCAGTGAAAGCCTGCTGGCATTTCCTCTGGCAGCCTGGAGCTACTCTCGGTTCCAAGAGAGTGTCAGGTATGCCAGAGGCAGGCGTTTGAAATATAATAAAACATAAATACAGTGCTGCAATTCAAATGTTCTAGGGCTCATGTGACAGCAACCAAATGGCAGACTGCAGGAGTCCAGGGAGGAGATAGAAACTTGTGTCTGATTCTTATGTTGGGATAAAATAGCATCTCACCATGATATGAAAAAACTCTCCAATTTCAGGCAGGGTTTTGCAATAGCATTTATGGTGCCTTCTTGTTTGCTCTCTAAGTCTGTGTTCCCATGTCATCTACATGGATAGGTCAAAGATTATGTTTTCTTAACCTTTTTGGTCAATCCGGTTGTTTTCCATATACTGAAGAAAGGTCTGAATAGTTAAAAATATTAGAAGTGGCCTCTAAGAGTCAATACAGAGTTATGCCTTGTGTTCTTAATAAAAGGTCATTTGATTTTCACATAAGTGTCCTGACATGACTTGAAGAGGGGAAATTTAAAGTTTGTGATTGTGATAAAGCAGATTGTGTAGATAACATGCTAGTTTCACACCATCATAGACTCTTAAGTTTGTTCTGAATACACATGAAAATCTTTCTGTTACCCTAAACAATATTCCCCAGGACTGACAGAAAAAGTAAACAATGTCAAGTCTAACCAGCAGGTAGAGAAGGGAGCAAAGTATTTTATATTTAACCATTTTATTACTGCTTTAGAAGAAAATGTGGCATCCTAAAGAAATACAACTTCCCAATATGTTTTTATTTAATTATTTAGGGTGTATTATCTCATTTGCATTTAGCCAGAAGAAGAGATAGATTTGAGAGTAAAAGATACACAACTATAATTGGTTGGCAATTTAAAAGAAAAGATGGTTTTTTCATAGTTGTCTTGTTTAATAAACAATGCTGCAAATGAAAAGATTCTAGAAATAATTTCTTAGTAAAGATACTGCAAAAATAACTTGTTGTGGTTTGATGTTTTAATTTGAAAGTAAGACCAACTCAAATATTATGCTTCTGAGATTTCTTCTTCCATTTTCATAAATAAATAGCTTTTGACAGCTGATGAGAATAATATCCTCTAAGAATAAGAATATTATCCCTGGAAAGTTGTTCTCTTTCTTCTCATTTGTCTGTTATATATTAATACTGTATTTGGAGTCAAAACTTAACAGCAAGTGGAAATTAACAAAAACACTTAGAGGTGGCTCATGCCTATAATCCCAGCACTTTGGGAGGCTGTAAGGTGGATCACGAGGTCAAGAGATCGAGACCATCCTGGTCAACATGGTGAAACCCCATCTCTACTAAAAATACAAAAATTAGCTGGGCATGGCGGTGCACACCTGTAGTCCCAGCTACTTGGAAGGCTGAGGCAGGAGAATTGCCTGAACCCAGGAGGCAGAGGTTGTGGTGAGCCGAGATTGCGCCATTGCGTTCCAGCCTGGGTAACAAGAGCAAAACTCCATCTAAAAAAAAAAAACAAAACATAGAGTAAAATGGTTACCTTTTATGCATGATAAAAAATCAAATGTTTAATTCACAGCTCTAGCAGCAAATAGGAATTTTACTGCTCTAGGTCCACTGAGGGAAAGAATTCTTTATGTTGCCTAGGTTTTCTTTTCTTTTCCTTTTTTTTTTTTTTTTTGAGACAGAATCTCACTCTGTTGCCTAGGCTGGCATGCAATGGTGCAATCTCAGCTTACTGCGACATCTGCCTTCCGGGTTCAAGAGGTTCTTCTGCCTCAACCTCCTTAGTAGCCAGAACTACAGGCATATGTCAATATGCCTGGTTAACTTTTTTGTATTTTTAGTACAAATGGCGTTTCACCGGATTGGCCAGGCTGGTCTCAAACTCCTGACCTTCTGATCCACCCACCTCAGCCTTCCAAAGTGCTGGGATTACAGGCATGAGCCACTGCCCCCAGCCAATGTTGCCCAGGTTTTCTAAGAGCAGTGTGGACATCTGAAGTAATTCACACAACAGGGAATCCAGATACAATACCTGAAAAGAAAAACACTTTGGCTATGACAACTGATTTTTGGGGACCTGATACTTTTGGTGTCCTCACTCTTGGCTTATGGCTGGAAGCTCAATTAGTCAAATGGAGATCGACTTGGTGCACAGCCAAACCTCAAGAGCACTTGCTTCCGTCCCTTCTCCTCAAGCTTCTCCCCTGCACTCAACCCTTCCACTGACCAAAAGTTAAATAATGGCTGTCAACAATCCACAAAAAGTCACCTCTCTAAACACCAGAAAAAATCTTTATTATGTATCATACCACCTTGCCTTCATGTACAGAATGGAGCGCAATAGAAAGTCCAAAACCTCTTCTTTATGTTGTGAAATTAATTAGATAACAGGTAAAAAGTGTTTTAGAAGTCTTTGGAAGAAAATACTTTACAGTGCCTAGAATGCTATTTCTGTGATGATTATTGCTGTCCTGACTTTCATCAGGTTTCTCAAAAACTAATCTGAGATTTTAGTTTCTTTCACCTAGCCGAAGGTTTTCGTCGTGGGACACATTTTAAGTTTCCTTGTTAGGTATTCTCTCTCTGCCCCCCACCCAACTTTCCCCTTACACACACACACACACACACACTTCTGTTATCCCAAATGATGTCATGTACAAAAAACATCATTTACATCTCATTGTCTTAAACTCCCTTCTACATAAAACAGGGAGCCTGTCTGTTATTTTTAAGCATCTGCAGCCTTTCATAAACAATGTACAGAATTGTCGCTAGGAAAAGACCTTCAGGTTGTGAGGAAGGACAGAACAGACTGTCTTACTTGCATCCCCCTTTATATATGATCCACTTTTTCTGCCCAATTACATCCCGCAGGGATTTCTCTTACTCCTATTCTCTCTAAGACCATTATTCCCAACCCCAAGGTACTCTATCTTCTTTCCTAAGAGTGGAGGATGGTATTGAGTTTTCAGTGAATTTGAACTTTGAGGATGACGGTGGTTGATGGATGTGGAGGCCAGCTTTTTGCTGGATGAAGTGTGCTGCCCTCTTAAAGCTCCTCTGTGCTCTTACTCTCTCCCCTTTGATTCATGGACATCTTGTTGTGATCACTAATAGTTTGACAAAGCTCCACAAACAAGTTTGGACTGATAGACTGATAAGACTGCCTCTAAGAAAAAATTAAAGAAATTAAAATTGAGGCTAGAAAGAAAGAGGCTGAAAGTCAGACAAGGCTCAGACTATGCAGCACAGTAGCTGCCTTCTTCAGTTTAGACAGTGCAATGAACGGCCGGCACAGTGGCCCATGTCTGTAATCTCAGAACTTTGGGAGGCCAAGGCAGGCAGATCACAAGGTCAGGAGTTAAAGACCAGCCTGACCAACATGGTGAAACCCCATCTCTACTAAAAATACAAAAATTAGCCAGGTGTATTGGTGGGCACCTGTAATCCCAGCTACTCAGGAGGCTGAGGTAGGAGAATGGCTTGGACCCGAGAGGTGGAGGTTGCTGTGAGCCAAGATCATGCCATTGCATGCCAGCCTGGTCAACAATCTCAAAAAAAAAAAAAAGATAGTGCAATGAACAAATAAGCTGAAAGAAATTAGATGATAGTCTTTTTTTTTTTTTTTTTTTTTTTAGATAGTGTCTCACTGTGTCACCCAGGCTGGAGTGCAGTGGCATGATTTGGGGTCACTGCAACCTCCACTTCCCTGATTCAAGCGATTCTCCTGCCTATGCCTCCCAAGTAGCTGGGATTGCAGGCACCCACAACCACGCCAGGTTAATTTTTGTATTTTTAGTAGAGGTGGGGTTTCACCATGTTGGCCATGCTGGTCTTGAACTCCCAACCTCACAGGATCCACCCACCTCAGCCTCCCAAATTGTTGAGATTACAGGCATGAGCCACCGAGCCCGGCTAATACTAGTCTTTATTTAACAGCGTCCAGTAAAGTAAGACCTACTAAATAGTATAAATGACACTGACTTCTTTTTAAAGGATTTCTTCTCTCAATTAGGGAAACATGGACATATAAGGGAAAAAGTCTGAAGGCCTCCAGTGGAGATATGTGATATGACATTATTTCTATAAGCTAAACATTTAAGAGGCTGGGCATAGTGGTTCATGCCTGTAATCCCAACACTTTGGGAGCCTCAGCAGGAGGACTGCTTGGGGCCAGGAATCCAAGACCAGCCTGGGTAACAGAGCAAAACCTTGTCTCTACAAAAAATTTAAAAATTTAACCAGGCATGATGGCACACACCTGTAGTCCTAGGAGCTGAGTCAGGAGTATCACTTGAGCCTAAGAGTTCAAAGTTACGGTGAGCTATGATCATGCCAGTGCACTCCAACTTGAGTGAAAAAGCAAGACCTCATCTTCAAAAACAAAAATATTTGAGAGAAAAAAGAAAAAGCTGAGTTGCCTAGGAAGAGGGCAAGAAATTTACGCAAATCTCAATCTAAGTGAGAGTCAATAGACATAAAATAAATTCTTAAAGAAACTACATTAGGTTGAAATCCCCT